CAAGGTGAGAGACTAGAGCCAAGCTACTTACAGCTCCCTGATTCTTCTGTCTCAGCTCTCCCAAGGACCAGCTGGGGATGACCAGAGTGCAATGCACTTCCACCACCACTGCTCCCCAGCTGTACTGTGCTCCCTGAGCCAGGGACTGCAGAGAAGAAAACACAGGCATCAACTTTATCAGCCCTGCACCCACTAGCCTGTCTCCTGTACCAAAGGCATCTCTAGCTGCAAGCTCTCTTGGTCTTTAATTGCATGAAAAAAGTGGGCAGAATGTAGCAGGAGCAGAGGAAATACTTTATTAGCACAAGGACATAATTGGATTATTTCCTTCTGACAAGGCAGCACTGCTATATGCTGCTGGGGAACAGGAGAACTGAATGTGTATCAGTGGAGCCAAGGGAAGTCACAAAGAATACTTACCTCTGTTTCAGTGGAGGAGAACAGCGGGTAAAGGCAACTCAGAACTCAAGCATCTCCTAAGTTTAGCTTTGGCATCAGCTTCAGTGGTGACTACTCTCCCACCATCCTAGCAGGAAGGAAAATGCCAGAACGGCAGTTGTTCACTACAAGCAAGGGCCATGATGTATTGTAGAGAATATAAAATAGGGAAAACTGGAGCCTCATCTTCATTGGCTGTCTGTGTGTGTGTACATGTATGTACCAAGGTACATGGTAATCCAGAGTCCAGATTTCAGATGGCCATTAAGTCTGAGCAATGAATGGAGCTACAGTCTCCCTGGGACAATGTCTAGGACTATTTTATACCCCCTAGCAAGATAGTAACAACTCCAAAGGAGAAAACCCAGACTATGGCATAAAGACTGAGTAAAGAAAGAATAATTTCATGAAATAGGCATTGTAAAAACTGAAAAAAATACCAGTATTTGTACTGTGGCTAAATGTAAATTCACTTCCACAAAATTATATTGTCATACACTGAGTAATTATTTATTTAGTGTAAAAATGGATTTTCAATTGTTTATAACAATCTCCTAGAATGATCTTCCAGTAAAAACCTCTCTCAAATTAATTTATCTTTTCATATTTGGAAAAAAATGTTGCCTCTTCATTTCCAGTATGCAGTAAATGGAGGTGACACTTTTTTGCTTGAGAATCACATCTTCAGTTAATATATCATGTTACTGAGCCAAAATTGCTCATTATACCAATATAATTGAGTATACTGTTAGCGCTCTGGGACCAGAGCTCACAATTAACCAGAGCTCTTGACTGTATATATCTAGAATAGGGACAACACCGAGGGCAGGTCTACAGTAGAAAATTCTTTCAAAATAACTAAAATCAAAATAATTGTGGGATTAACAAAATCAAAATAGCACGTCCCCACTATGGGGAAGCATTAAAATTAGTCAGAATTATTTTGAAATAGTCTCCAATCACTGTGGGTGTGCTGTCAGACTTGGAGCCTCCGGAAGCATTCTGGGGAGGGCACCTGGAGGGCAGACACTTCGTGGCTGCTTGGCCAGGCAAGCTGTGAGGTGTGCTTTCAGGGGATCCTCTCTACGGCTGCGTCTCACACGCCACTCCTCCACTTCCTCCTCCCTTGTGGGACACAAAATTGAAGCAGTGTGCCCTGATTGCCATTGCGGATGCCACAGCACTCAAAGCATGAAGCCGGGGCTGCTGCAAAGCAGTGTCAGATTCACAGGCCTCATGCTGCACCTCATGGTGCAGTACTTCCAAACTGCCCACATACTGCTCCAGCAGGACAAAGACCAGCCCTGCTCACCCAGTTCCTGGCACTCCTGCTGCTGTGCATGATCCTCAGTCCCCTGCATACCGTCGGAGACCAGTTCAGACAGGTGGAACTGCATCATCTTGTAGCGACGGGACAACCAGCAGCGGCTGCAGAACTTCTGCATATGGAAGGCCACCTTCCTCAAGCTTTGTGGGTGGCTCACTTCTTCCCTCAGGTAACAGGATACCCGACTCAAACCTGCCATACACATGCAGAAGCGCGTTGCCATTGCACTCTGGAAGCTCACCATGCCAGACAGCTACCACTCCATCAGGGACCAGTTCAGTGTCAAGAAATCCAGAGTCAGGGCTGTTCTCCTGTAGTAGCCAAGGCCATCAACCAGGTGCTGCTATGGACATTCGTCACTCTGGGGAACATGGACACCATCATCGATGGCTTTGCCCCATGGGCTAGATAGCATGCACATCCCCATCCTGGCCCCTGACCATCATGCCTTGAACTACATCAACCTCAAGTGGTACTTCTCTATGGTGCTGTAGGCTCTCACCTTGTGGATTACAAGGGATGCTTCACTGACATCAAGATGGGCTGTTTGGGGAAGCCATACAACACCCACATCATCCAGGATTCCTGCGGTTCTGAAAGATGCATGCTGGCACTTTTTCCCCTGACTGCACCATCAGTGTCCGAGAGGTGGACATGCCCATCATCATTCTGAGCAACACAGCCTACCCCTTGCTCCGCTGGCTCATAAAGCCCTGCAAGGGCTGCCTGGACCCAAGCAAGGAACACTTCAATTCTAGGCTGGATCTCAATGAGCATGACATCCCCTTCATGGTGGTGGCCTGCTGCATGCTCCAAAACCTGTGTGAGGGCTATAGGGAGACTTTTCTGCCAGAGTTGGGGGCTGATGCTGAACGGCTGGCCAGGGCACACAAGCAGCCAGAAACCAGAGCCATACAGAGGGCCTATCAAGGGATTGTGCTCTTCAGGGAGGTCTCAAAGGAAAGTTTTATCCAAGACCAGCTGTGAGATTCTCCCCTGTGCCTGTCCACAAGGGGCCCCTGCATTCCCTGTGTGTGCCTTTCCTCTCCCACCCTTCCCACCTTCCCCCTCCACAGCAGAGCAAATAAAAAAGCCTTCTTTTGTGAAAAACATGACTGTTTACTGGGGGAGGGACTGGTAAAGAACCTGGAATGAGGAAGAAGAGCTCAGGGATGGGGTTGGAAGTGGCACCTGCTTCCACATGGTCAGGAGGCTTTGGCTGCCTGAGAGGTCCCACTGCCATGTCTTCTGGGACCCCAGTGGCCCTGGGGGGGAGGGGGTTAAGGGGAAGCCATGGGAGGCAGGGAGGTGGGCTGGTGGCCTGCTCCATGCACAAGGTCATGTGCTCCATCACCGAGGTAAGGGAGGAGCACATGGCCTCGTGCTGACACCCCACTTGGTCCCAGGCAGCCTTCCTCTGCTCCCAGTTAGCGGTCTGCTCCTGGCGCTCCTACTCAAGCCCCTGGATGAGGGACTGCAGGCAGCCCTTCTGCTCACACATGAGGTCTTCCTGGGTTCTCTTCCACCTGCTGATCCTGCAGAGTTGGGTAGATAGCATGGGAGGTGGGGGATGCACCAACCTTGCAGCTGGCCCAGCTGTGAAGAAAAGTTACGAGGGCAGTCATCCCAGGAGACACTGTGTATGAACCCTAGCCCTACTCTCTGAGCTGACACTGAAGGTCTCAGTTCAAACTATGGAAATGTGCTTCAGGCAAGGCCATATGTTGCCTAGAAAGCAGGCACTTTCCAGCTGGGGTCCAGATGTCCCAGGGGAGCATCAGTACAGCCACAGCCTGGGGACAAGCAGGCATGGAAAGGTGCCAGCCAGGCCAGGAGCCTGCAGATGGGAGCAGAGGACGGGGCGGCTTGGCTTCCTTCTGTGTCCCACACATGCTGGGTCTGGCACTGGTGGAGTCCCACACAAAGAGTATGTCTACACTACAGTGTTATTTCGAAATATCTTATTTCAAAATAGCTATTTTGAAATAGCTTATTTCGAAATAACGCATCTACACACAAAATGCATTTTGAAATAGCATTTTGCTATTTTGAAATAGCACGTCCACACTGAGTAGACTCTGAATCGCATTTAAGGCTGGCCGGAACCAGTTCCAGCAGGGCACCAGGTCAGGACTTTCTGTGTGGGGCTGCTGCCTGAGGCTATCGGAGGTCTGTGCTTAAAGGAACCCCCCCGGACAGACAATTCTCAGGTTTCCCTGCTTGCTTGTCTACCTTGACGAGGGACAGCAAAGCATTTGTGTGTCTGCGTGCTCTGATTGCCCTCACTCGGGACACCACAGCACTCTGCAACTAGGGGTATGTCTACATGACAGCGTTAATTCGAGTTATCTTAATTTGAAATAGTTCATCCGAATTAAGCTAATTCGAATTAACGCGTCCACACACAAAATGCATTCGAATTAGCGTTTTGCTAATTCGAAATACCGAGTCCACACTGAGTGGACACTGATTCAGATTTCAGGCTGGCTGGAACTAAGTTAGGGGTAGGGCATCAGGAGTGTCTTTGTGTGACTGTTGCCTGAGGCTATCTGAGGCTTGTGCTTAAAGGGACACACACACACACACACACACACACACACACACACACACACACCCACACCCCGGTGTCTCTGCTTGCTTGCCTGCTTCACTGAGGGACAGCAAGGCATTTTGTCTCTGTGTGCTCTGATTGCCCTCACTTGGGACACCACAGCACACGGCAACATGGAGCCAGAGCTGCCCCTGGGCACTCTGGGGCTTCTCTTGGATGCGTTGCTACGAGCCTGGCTGCACTTTCTGCAGGCTGCCATCCGGGAGGTCCATCGGGGGGCTGTCAGTATCCAGGAGGCCCTG